TTGTTTTTTTTTGAGAGGTTTTTGCTACAGGGCACATGCACTCACCAGAGACACAGAGAGACAGAGAGACAGAAAGCGAGAAATCGCCCCCACAGGGGAGATGGCCACGCCGCAATCCCTTCTCCATTCTCCTCTCAGGATCTTGGGCACGCATGCACATGCGCCCAGTGTAACTTTAAGCCACCAGGTCCTGAACTCGAACTGCGGTCAACTACATGGGAGTCCAGTGATGTAGCCATTACACTGCCTGCTGGTCCCTCATTCTCATGTCTTATACCACAACTAACAAACTGATAATTCTCAATCTCTATCGCTAGAAGACCCTGCATACCTTCCAAGCTTCAAAACTTTAATTTCCAACTGTATGGAATACCTGCTGATTGTCCCCCAGTACTCATTTTTCTTCTCTTGTTCCTCTAGTAATAGGATCCCTAAATTTTCACTGTTTATAGCCATTCAAATACTGCTGGATCCCTTGCATTTATTGTGTGACTCTGTGAATTCCAAGTTCTAGCCAATGGGATGTCAGAAAAAGCAAGGTGTACACAGTTAAGATGGCACAGTAAATGCAGATTTTACAATTTTAAAAAGTAAAATTTCAGGTTGTATCTTTCAAAGAAAAGCATGCCCTGCAATATCCCCTTCTTCTTTTCCCTTCCTTCTGTCTGAAATGAGGACACAGTGGGCAGGGTGGCAAGCCACATCCAGAACCACGTGGCTGGGGAAATGCTTTATTTGGAGTAAAACAGAAAACACCGACACCCCTAACACCATAGCGCTACCGAATCAGCCTGTATGGCTAATGTGGACTATTATGGAAAAAGAAATAAACTTTTATGTTCCTTATGCCACTACCATTATGTCTTTGTAACAGTGGCTAAACCCTATTCTAACCTGTATCGTCTATTCAACATTGCTGTGACTGCCTCACAGTCACCCTAGAGGCACTGTGCATAAACTTCTAATTCCCTTCAGCTCAGCTCAACCTGCTCAGTACTAAGGTCACAGCTTTCATATTCTCCTCTCCCTTGCTCATCTAAGCCCCATTCTAATAAACTGACAATTTTACTTTCCTCATTTCTCTTCAATTTATCTCCTCCTTTTTGTTCTCACACTCTCTAAGTCTACCTATCTTTCCTTCACTCTGTCTACCTTCTACACTGCAACTGGAGTTATCCTTCTAAAACACAAACTGTTGATATCTTCCCTTTCTTAAAACCTTTGGGAGTTTAAGTTTATAGAGTAAGTCAAAATTCCTTCCCATGAGGCTCATAATTGAGCTCTTTCTAGACTTCCAGTTTCACATCTAGTCACCGTGGCCTGAGCCTCACCCAGCACTAACTTCACTTCCCTAGTTCTTGTTTCCAGAGCACATCATTTGCTCCTTTGCTAATGCTGACCTTGATGCCCGTGGCTGGGCCCAGATACACCTACTTGCACCTCCTCAACTGGCAAATCCTTACTCATTTTTGAAGCTTAGGTCAAATTTTTACCCTAGCTCAAATTTCAACTTTACCCATGACTTCTCACTCATCCTCTATCCTCCCAAGCTAAGCACAGATCACAAGAGCAAAGACCAAGTCATACTTATCCTTATGGTATCAATACCTCACCATCCCGATACCAAGCACACAGAAGTTACAGTTTTCACAAGAGCAGTCAACATTTGAGCTAGACTTTCACCTTTACAACTCTGAGGTAGGTACTATAACTATCCCACTTTAGAGATAAAAAGAGTAGGTCCAGGGAAGTAAAATAACTTCAGGGTTACAGAGCCAGTAAGTGTAATTTAAAACAAGTCTTGGTGTGCAAAGGCATACTGGAATGAAATAAATGATGGTAATTCAATAATATTCTGAGTTTTATGTGACTTACATTATATCAGGTGCTCTGGGGTGAGAGATGAGTATATAATGTGGTAAAATAAGAAAACACATGGAATACTTTTAGAGATACAAAATAAATGAAAATATTCTTCTTTTATGTGACACCAAATAAAAATCAGACATTTCTATTCATGAATAAACCTGAAGTGACTGAAAATGTCCACTTTTTATATGGTGTTTATTATCAAAGGGCATAATTTTTCAGTAAAGTGATCTTTTAAAGCAATAATTCTCAAAGAACAGTCCACGAACTCCTGAAACCCTGATCCCTTTCAGGAAGTCCACAAGATCAAAAATGTTTTCATAATTATGCAAAAATAGTATTTGCCCCTTTCACTGTGCTAACATTTAAGCTGATAGATAAAACTCCAGGTGACTTAGCTAAAGAAAAGCAGTGACAACAAACTTGGCAGTTATGCGTCATTGCCATGCATTTGGATCACAAAGAAAAAAAGCAACCAGCACCACTCAAGAATGTCCTTGTAAGTAGTAAGAAGTATACAGTTTATTAAATCTCAACCATGGAGTTACCATCTCCTCTTCCATATTCTCTATGGCAAGAATGAAAGTACAAAGTACCTTCCAAGTTATTGAAAAAAAAAAAAAAAGCAGTTATGTGTGAGTTACGAACTGAACTAGTCTTTTTTTTTAACACGGTTTTTACTTGGAAGATAAGCTAACCACTTTTTTCATGGACCACCATTTTTGCATGAGAGAACCACTAAGAAATTGTTCATTCAGACTTGGGTATTTGACACATTTTCTGGAAAATAAAGTGAACCTGTTACTTCAAGGAAAACTTATAGTTTAGGTTACTAGTAACAAAATTCAAACTTTCAAGTAAAAGTTAGGATTTTGGAAATGTTGGATCTACCACCACAGACTGTTGACCGCTTCCCAATATTTAAAACTTTTCTGAAAAGAACAGTGGGGTAATGTCAATGTGATTTTTTTTTTTTGAGAGACTTCCTATAGGACATGTGAGCTCGCCGGAGAGACAGAGACAGGGAGAAAGTGAGAAGTCACCTCCTGGGAGTATGGCCATGCCACAATTCCTACCCCATTCTCCTCTTGGGATTTTGGAAACACACATGTGCCCAGTGTGAGTTTCAAGTCACTGAGTCCACTGGGACTCAAACAGCAATTAGCCATGTAGGAGTCCGGTGCCTTAACCACTACACCATCTGCTGGCCTCAAGTGATTGATTTTTTTAAATCGTGTGATGAGGTGTATCAACATTTGGAAGACCTGCCAAAATTCAGTGAACCAATATTTCCCAAATGACCAATATATAATGTTATAAAATTGTAATGGGTGAAAGATCTATTGTGGGCTGATTCCATTTAAGTCCATGACTGGAAGTGCTCTACTCTTGCTTTAATGCTCTGCTATTGCTGTCTTGAAATTCCTAAACAAGGAGCCCTGAATTTAAATTTTGCACTAGGATCTTCAATTACATAGCCATTATTAGATCTACTCAAAGCACAAAAGCACGTTAATGTATTTTAACATAATAGAGTACATGAAAATTCAAATTCTACATCACAATTAATCTTTGAGAAACTACCATTTGCGGGAACCAGCAGTTAGCGTAATGGCTATGTCACTGGACTCCCACGTAGTCGACCGAGGTTCGCGTCCCGGACCCAGTGGCTTAAAACTCACGCCGGGCGCGTGTGCATGCATGCCCAAGATCCCGAGAGGAGAATGGAGAAGGGATTGCGGCATGACCATCCCCCTGGGGGGGGTGACTTCTCGCTTTCTGTCTCTAAGTCTCTCTCTGTCTGTCTGGCGAATGCATGCACCTTATAGCGAAAACCTCTCCAAAAAAAAAAAAAAGAAAAGAAACTACCATTTGCCAAGTTTTGGTCTATTATCAATAAAGAATATTTACAATTTTCTAAAAAGGTTATTAAAATACTCCTTTCCCAATGATATATCTGTGTGAGGGCCAGATGTTTTCATATATTTAAACCTAAATAATACATCTCAATGGGTTAAATGCATTAGATACTAAAATTCAACTTTCTTCTATTAAGTCAAATATTAAAGAGATCTGCATGAGAGCCAGTAGATAGCATAATGGTTACGTTACTGGACTCCCACGTTGACCTGAACCTGGCAACTTGAAACTCAGGGTGGGCGCAGGTACATGCATGCCCAAGATCCTGAGAGGAGAATAGAAAAGAAGGGATTGGGTCATGGCCATTCCCCCTGGGAAGTGATTTCTCACTTTCTGTCTCTCTGTCTCTCTAACAAGCACGTGCATCCTATAGTTTTTTTACACTACCACCAAAAAAAGAGAGACCTGCACAAACATAAAACCAAACTATTCTTCTAAATTTTTAAGAGGAAAATACGTAATTTATATGAATGCTTACGTTTTTAAGAGTCCTAGGACCAAAATGTTTGGGAACTGCTAATTTAGTGAAGACATAAGAAAAACGAGACAGAAAATAACCAACTCCTACCGCATTTCAATCATCATGTCTTCAAGTAACTCTGATGAATCCCTGCTGTAGATTCGGATGTAGAATTGACTAGGAGAGATGATATATTCCACAAAGACCCCCACAAGAGTACTAGTATCTAGTGGTGGAAGTCTGCATAATTTCTTTTCCCGTACAGCATCTGGTGGGATATCATGATTTCCTATCGCCATATTGAGCTGTGAGTTGTTTGTTTCTATTTGCTACGAGTAAAAAGAAAAAGAAAAAGAAATAAAAGAAACAATTATAAATATTTGGGTGATATTCCAAACATGTGACAATGTTTCTCAAACTATATTTTATAAATCACCTTTATCAGAATCACCTGGGAAGTTATAAAAATGCATTCTTGAGACCAGCAGATGGTGTAATGGTTATGTCACTAGACTCCCACGTAGTTGACTGTAGTTTGAGTTCTGGACCTGGTGGCTTAAAGCTCACACCGTGTGCATATGTGTGCATGTCCAAAATTCGAGAGGAGACTGGAGGAGAAAGGATTGTGGCATGGTCAACCCCCTGGGAGGCGATTTCTCCCTTTCTGTCTCTCTGGCGAGTACTTGTGCCCGATAGCAAAAATCTCTTTAAAAAAAAAAAATACAGATTCTTGAAATCTACCCCAGACTTACTGATTAAGAATATCTAACAATGAGGCCCACAGTTATGCATTTTTAAAAGTTCTCCCAGTGATTCTTACCTACATTAAAATAAGAAAACTACTGCTTTATATTAGCCAAAGAGTTAAACTGTGTTATGCAACTGCCCTATATAAAAGTGGAAAACATGATACTTCAAATATTCAGGCTGAACTGAGATAGAGTCTCATCCTATCTAATCTACCAAGGGCCACAGGTAACTCTAACAAGTGAATTAAATTTTGGAATAGTCTTCTGACCAAAAGTGCTCTAATTCTAAAATATGTTGTTTCACTCTGGGCCTTTCCATTGTCTAGCAGACTTTAGAAACATTTTTTTTTCTCCACAAAAGAAGCAAGTTGCTTTGTGGCTTGTTTGTTTCTATCGTGTAAGGTTTTTAGTTTTTGTTTTTTTTTTTTTTTGAGAGGTTTTTGCTATAAGGTGCATGTGTTCGCCAGAAAGAGAGAGACAGAGAGATAGAAAGCAAGAAATCACCCCCCAGGGGGGATGGCCACGCTACAATCCCTTCTCCTCCCTTCTCCTCTCAGGACCTTGGGTACGCACGCACGCACACCTGGCATGAGTTTAAGCCATCGGGTCTAGGACTTGAACCATGGTCGATTACGTGGGAGTCCAGCGATATAGCCATTACGCCAACTGCTGGTCCCTCTATTTGTGTAAGTTTTTAAATTATTTTTTTTTATTATAAATCTTGGGGCTGGCAGGTGGTGTGATGGTTAAGGGTGCTGGACTCCCACATGGCTGACTGTGTTTTGAGTCCCAGAACAGGTGGCTTGCTTTCTCACTTTCTCCCTCTCTCTCTCTCTCACTCTGTCCCTCTCTGGTCAAATTAAAATGAATAAACAAATACATAAATAAGTAAAGTTAAATAAAATGATTCTTTAAAAATATTTTTAAAAAATTAAAAATCTTTGTATATTTCAAACCTATGACAATATTTCTCAAAGTATATTTCATGAATCACCTTTATCAGAATCACTTTATACAGAGGAAAGAAAGAAAGAAGAGTAAGCAAATAATACTATAATGATGACAAATAAGTAATGAGAGACGAGGTCAAAAAATGGGAAAATTGGCGGAAGCCGGCGCGGGGCGCGCCCGGCGGAAGCCGGCGCGGGGCGCGGGAGAGCCCATGCCCCCGTCCTTCACCCCTGGCCGTGTCCTGCCGGGCTGC